AAATCGGTAAATCGCTATTTTATCTTCTCAAATCAGATTTCGGTAAGTCGAATGATGTTTCGATTTCACGCATATTAACGGCATGCTCTTGATGAATATAATATGCACATTATCGGTGTAATATCTCCTACATTTAATCCCTTGGACAAAGGTTTTTGAGATTATAAGTTAGTGATATCCATAGAACGTCTGGTAAAAAGTGGATGAATATTGTGAATCTAATAAAATGTATGGTTAAAAATTAAGTTTGATCAACTTATAATCTTTTGAAACTTGTGTCAAACATGCATGGGCTTAATTAAATTAGAAATTAATAAATCTTACAAAAAAAAAAAGAAGCAAAACCCTAATCGCGAAAATGCTTAAATAACTTAAAAGGAAACAATAAGGGTCCGTCAAGAATACATCAAAATTTTAGCGAAGTTTTACTAAAAACAAGCACTGAAACGCGTAAAAAAGAAGTAACAACTCGACTTGGGTACACACACTAAAAATGGAAAATACATTAGAACTTCACTAAAATTTAAACTTAAAAAGAAAATGGTTCAACCTGGTTACATGCACATGCACTTAAGCTTTCGAGCTCTCAAATCATAGCAACACCAGTATAACCAGATTTCTCATAAACAGTAACATAAACCGTATATTCCAACACATCATAATTAGCCACGGGATCATAAGAGTAAGTATTCGAAATGGCATATCCACGGGCCATTCGAAAATCACCGGTGCCACCAACAACTGACAATTCCCTGTCATTTTCATTAATTGGATTTCTTCCCAAAATGCAAAGTGTACTGCCATTATACTTACCGGCGGAGAAATAAAAATTCATGTTCATAGCCAGGGCTGATTCTGAAAGATCTGCAGAAGTAATGAGCCCTTGGGCTCTTCCCAATGCCTCTGAACTGCGGTTACGACCAACTGTTATTAGGTCATCCAAGACTCTGACCTGCCCGAAAGAAGTGAGAGAATTTGCAGTGACTGCAGCTTCAGCCACCTGCCAAACAGTTGCATTTGGGCCGCCGAGTGCGTCTTGGACATAGAAATGGAGCTTGATTAGATTTTCCTTTCCCCGGCAGATGTTTTTGAACCAAATTTTTTCAGCGTTGGACTCTTGGGAATTGGCATGGCCCATAGACATGACTACGACCAACAAGCAAAGAATAAAAACTGTGCCAAGCTTTTCCATCCTTATTATCCCCGAATGAATGAGTCTTTTCGAACGTATGATGATGGACAGGGGCAATAAAAAAGTTATAACAACTGATAATATGAGAATATGAACTCCTTTCTAGCAATAGGAGTGGATATTGGATGATGTACAATGGAGGATTAGGTTAGGATTATATAGGCCAACTGTAGTAAATATTGGGAGTAATTTAATGAATTTTTTTTTAGTGGTCATTTGAAATTGTTATTTCCAAGAACGCCATGTTGTATATTTTAAAAATGTTAAACTCCGCCCCGCCTCGCCCCTAGAGCATTGTGAAGAATGTAAATCGCAGGATGTGCCTCAACAAGTCATGGTACAATAGTTGTCATATTGGTGCCCACAAAGAGTCCAATTTCATAATTTGTAAGAAGCGGGAATCCAACCCTCATACTACGGTTGTCAGTTCAGCTGAGATTACTTCACTCTTATCCTTTGCACCATTGAACTATGTTCCCAGGGCACCATGTTATATATTTTAGTCATGTATGTAGAAGAGAGGTAGGTTTTAATATGTACAACATGAGTTCTACATTAGGAAAATCCACACGTGCTAAATTATTTTGTTATATGCTAAATTATTTTAAACGGATATCTATTTTTAAAAAAAACCCTATATTATTGAAATATTCACTGATAATTGCTTCCCAATATTTCTCTTGGGTTTCATACAGTGCTTGCATTCAGAAGAAGAAATATAAATAAAATAAGATTTGTTCTTTCAATAATTTCAGTTATTTTAGTAGAATAAAGGTCTCCTAACAGCGATGAACGCCAATTAATTTATGGATCATCTAATTCTTGGGACGTGTAATGAATTTATTCACCTATTAATTGGTTTGTTATGTCACCAATGTTTATGATAAGTTAAGCACTGATACTTAGCAGATCATTTCTTAACACAAAAGGGTTCATATATAAGTTATGTGATTAGTCAATAATTTTATAAAAGCTCTGAATATTAAATGTCTCTCACTTGAATTTTAAATGTAAACATGATATAAAGAAGCATAAAATATTTGAGGATCCCTCGATTTGAGACTTGAGGTGGGAACTAAGTGGGCAACAAGCATCTTTCATTTAAAAACTGCACGTGATTTCCAAGTAACGTTAACTCTGGTCTAAGAATTATAACCTGATGATTAACACTACCTCTCTCTTTGAAAAAATATGGAGTTGAAGGTTTTTGAACTGTAACCATCGAAATGTCCGTTGGTTCAGAACGTGAATCGAGCTTGTTCACTTTTTAAAAGTGGAGACACCCTCTCCTTCCCATCTCGATTTGACGAAAACCACATCATGATGGTTGAAATATGACTCCAAGCCATACATGATACATCCATCATCCAAAATTTTTTGCATACTTTTATCATGCACACACAAATTGTGGTTTGAAAGAGACGGCTAACAAAATTACATAGAGAGACTAAAGCAAGTTTTGAAATCTAATACATTCCCTAGTTGACAGAGCATAAATTAGGATTAAATAAGTGGGCAAATTCGATTCAAAGGCTGAATTTGACATTTGGATGGTTACAATCCAAAGTCCAAAGGTCCTTTGACTGCATAATTTTTCAAAGTTTTGAGACGACGTACCAAAATTTGGAGATCATAAACCCGTTGCAATTTTTAGAAAGGTTAGAGACCTTAACAATAATTCAATTGAAATTTTTAACCACCGAAATAACCTCATGCAATCATGTTACAAGTACAAAAAATTTTGACAGACAACATGTTGCGAGAATTGATCGAAAGATGGAAAGAGAAAAAAAATCAAATCATCTGCTGCCAGTCTGCCACGTCAATATCGATAATGGTTCTATCAAGAATTCTCTGTACTCATGGAATTTTCCAACTCCATATCCCAATTATATACACGTACAAAAGGGAGTTACAAATACTACAAGAAGTGAAAATTCATCGAAATTTTTAGAACAAATTAATAGAAAAAAATACCAATGCTAGCTAGCATGAAGATCAAAATACTAAAGTAATCTGATCATTAATCATCAATAACTTGTTCTGTTGTTCACTAATTGAAAAATAATACTTAACTAGGGTTAAACACTAATCATAACATTAACTGTGTCTACTCAGAGTTAAGTAATTCAGCCCAAAGAAAAAATATTTATTTATGTAATTCACTTCACAGACCACATACATTTCCATCGAGGATTAATGGACAGTGGTCCAAAGACTAATTTTATCTTTTAGGATATGGCAGCGAGGTAAAGACAGGCCGACAAAAAACTACTTTATTAACATGGAGTCTTCCCTAGACCACGCTTTACATATATGATTCTTAAAACTATGAATAATCATATTCATTCCCACTGGGGTTACAAACACGGTTTAGGTGGTGTTGATGTGACATTAAATAATATGTAAAATTATTTAATTTCATATTTCATTTAACCTATCATTTAGAGTCACCTAAACCGTGTTTGTAATCCCACTGAAAATGAATAACATTACTCTAAAAGTATTAGCTATCTACTTGTAATGCGTGTAAGATATATTATTTCTCGAATATTGCAAAAGTTGACAGGATACACACATAATATTCGAGTCTTCAAATGCGAACGCTAAATTGGCTCTTGGACTCACCGAAAGTTTTTATCATTAAATTATTTTCAAGAGACTTTTTAAACGCAAAATGTACTTTATTGTATAGAGTCAATACTTAAAATGATTTTTTTTTTAATAGAGAGTGATTTAACTCTTCAAATTTGAGAACCAAACACACTCTATTTTTACTTCATAATGATTGTATTTAATAAGTTACAGATTTCAATTATTTATTTTTTAAATTACTACAAATCATATTTGAATTGATTGATTATGAACATATAAAAAAAAATAAGATGAGAAATTAATAAATATTTCTTTAAAAAA